GGTGGCCCCAATCTCAGGAGGCCAGGTGTGAGTCACTCAATCTGGAAGATCCTAACATTCTGACCTGGGTCGCCCAGGGGTCCCACCCACACCTCTTCAGACCACATGCCCCCACCTCCAGATATTAGGGCGGTGGGTAGGGGGTGCGGTCTGTCCACATCTTGAGTTCTTAAACCCCTAGTTCTTGGACTGAGGGTGCCCACCCCCTCCCCCAAGCCATCAGGTCTCAGGTGTTCAGTCACCCCTGGCACTGCCAGCCTGGGCTCTGGGCAGGGCTGGGAAAACCACCCCTGGTTAAATAACACCAGGCGATAAGCCCGGGGCAAGTGAGACTGGATGGAGTCCCCTGCCTGTGCACCCCTCCCGGGCAATCTGTGGCCTCCGCAGACACAGCTCTGCAGCCCCAAGCACTGGATAGCTCCCCCTCCCCCATCCTCAGGGCTAGAGGCCTCCAAACACCAGGGCCCTCCTTCTCAATGGGGGCCAAAGAGCTGTGGAGGACACCTGGTCCTTTAAGAACAGCTGGTGGGTGGGTGGGGGGCAGGGGAGTCACCCCCAGCCTGGTCGGTGTGTGTATTCTAGATAGAGGTTGGGTTAACCATTAACAGAACAGAGGACCTGACCTGTGTGGGTGTGAGGGGCTGGATCAGTCCCCCTCCCCCCAGCACCAGGTGGGTCCAGAGTGAAGGGGTTCTGGATGTATTTGGGGATCAGTGAGGAGGCGACCAAGCTCCTAAAAAGAAAGACAGGAACACAAAAGAGACCTAGGGGAAAATGGGAGACCACAGGCGGTAGGGAGATGCAGGGAGCAGCTCACTGAGAGAAAGGCGAGCCTAGAGGGACGGAGAGCTCAAGGGACCCTCTGAGATGGAGGAGATGAGGCAGAAACAGACATTCAGCAAAAAGGCGAGGAAGATCCAGATACGTGGATATTCGCAGGAGTAGAGAACTATCCTGGTACACGATAGAGATAGAAGGAGGGAGAAAGACAGAGGTTCAGAGAGAGGAATAAAGAGCAAATGAGAGACACTGAAACAGAAGGAGCAGGTTTGAACTAGAGAGTTCTGTGAGACGGGGAGAGAGGGGGCTCTGTGAAGGACAGGCTCCATCTGTTTTGTCCCTTGGTCCCCTGAAAAGGCCTGGCCGACTCCTCCCCCACCAGGTCTCAGCTCAGCTGATGCTTCCTCCAGGAAGCCCTCCTGGACCCCCAGGCTGCAGCAGGTGCCATTTCTGGGCCCTGACAGGTCCTGCACTTCTCATATCCCAGCCCTGCTCCTGTAGTGGCTGGCGGCTCAGAGGCAGAGGAATAGAGGCTGACACCGAGAGGGACAGGGACAGAAGGAGACAGAAACTTAGAAGGTGTAAGAGGAGAGAGGCAGAGACCCAGAGTGTGGCCTGGCAGCGTAGGAGGCTGGCCCCAGTGGAGACAGAGAAGTCAGACTTTGCTGAGAAGACTGAGGTCACCACTGTGTCCCCGCAGCACAGGGCTGGTGTGAAGGCCGGATAGATAGACGGTCCCCTCCAGTAAACCTATATACAGCACCCGCGGTGTGACAGGCGCTGCGGTGGGTGCTGTGAATACAGCCGGGAGCAGACGAGTCCCTACGCTCATGGAGCTGGCATTCAGGTGCGAGATACAGACAGACCCAGAAGATGTGACAGTCGTGGAGCGTTAAGTCCTCAGAAGAAAAAAACCAGCCACAGACTCCAGCCGCGTGGCTCCGTTACCAAAAAGGTCGCGGGTTCGATTCCCAATTGGGGTGCCTACAGGAGGCAGCCAGTCGATGTTTCTCTCTCACTAGAATCAATACACATATCCTCAGGTAAGGATTGAAAAATAAGAAGCCAGAGAAAAGGGAGAGAGAACGATGGAGGTTGCTATTTAAAGAGGGAGGGAGGGAAGGGCTCACTGAGGAGACGGCACTAAGAACTGAAGGCGGTAAGGGGGTGAGCCAGGAGA